CCGCATGCTAGCCCGATCCAAACGGTAATCGGTAAAGGCGCATCAAACCCGTTGAAGGCTGGGGGTTTGCCAAAAATCCCAAAGTCTATGTCTAATACACATAGCCGGTTTAGTCTTTCGCCGATTGAAAAAGACACCATGGTCTAAAACTGGAGAATTTTATCCCGAAGCCTAAAAAGGGATAAGTCGTCGTCTAATACGCGGCGCGGGGTACCTTTTCCCTATAAGAAATGGTTAAGCCTATGTATTCAAAATCATAGCATTAAGTCTAAGAGAAGCAATTCTCTTAGCACAATGTTACATGTGAAACGGGTTTTAATAATTCACATGCTAGCCCGATTCAAACGGTAATCGGTAAATGCACGTCAAACCCGTTGATGGCTGGGGGGTTCCCAAAAATCCCAAAGTCTATGTCTAACACGCATTGCCGGTTAGTCTTTGACCGTAAAAAGGACAAAAGCCCACATATTCAATATTGTGGCAGGGTGTTATTAATAAAGCCAAAATCCGTGCCTCACACGCACGGGGAATTTTATTCCGAAGCCTAAACAGGGATAAGTCAACGCCTAACACGCGTTGCCGGTTTAGTCTTTCACCGATTGAAAAAGACACCACCGAGTCTGGGGACTTTTATCCTGAATCCTAAGTAAGGATAAGTCAGCGCCTAACACGCGTTGCCGGGTAGCCTGTTCCCGTAACAATGGCGAAGTCTACGTATTCGAAGTCGTAGCATCAAGTCTAAGAGAGTTCATTCCTTTAGAACAACGTCACATTCGGAACGGATGTAAACAATCCGCTTGCTAGACTGACTCGAACGGTAGTCGGTAAAGGCAAATCAAATCCGTTTATGGCTGAGGATTTACCAAAAAAAATCCTAAGTCTACGTCTAACACACGTTGCCGGGTAGTCTATTCCCGTGAGAAAGACGAAGTCTACGTATTCAATAGCGTAGCACTAAAAGAGTTAACTCTTTTAGCACAACGTTATGTGCAGAACGGATCTAAACAATCTGCATGCTAGCCCGACTCAAACGGTAGTCGGTAAAGGCTCATCAAACCCGTTGATGGCTGAGAATTTGTCAAAAATTCTATAAGTGCGAATCATTGATGCATCAGCTCTGCTAGTTGGTCTCGTGGCTCTATTATCCAACAACATTAAAATAAGATCCACAAATGCAGATGAATCAGCTTCAACAGTTGGTCCTGCAACCCCGACACTTGGGACCGCTGTGCTCCAATACCTTAAGAGCTTAAACTGTGTACACTCCAGTAAACGTACGAGTATAAACTGTGTCAACGTACGACGTTCGAAACCCTAGGGTCAACGCCGGTCAACGCGTAACCCTAGGTCAACACCAATCAACGCGTTTCAACAAAAAAGTCAATGTTCGACATTCAACGCCAGTCAACGCGTTGCGATAAAAAGTCAATGTTCGACGTTAGAAACCCTAATGGTCAACGCCGGTCAACGCGTAACCCTAGGTCAACGCCAGTCAACGCGTTGCGACAAAAGTCAACATTCGACGTCCGAAACCTCAACCCCCGCGAAGGAGGGTGTCGGCCCTTCCCGAATGACCCGCGAAGGGGTCAAACGAGGGTATGACAAAACCACCAAGTCCGAAACCTCAACCCCCGCGAAGGAAGGTGTCGGCCCTTCCCGAATGACCCGCGAAGGGGCCAAACGAGGGTATGACAAAACCACCAAGTCCGAAACCTCGACCCCCGCGAAGGAGGGTGTCGGCCCTTCCCGAATGACCCGCGAAGGGATCAATCGGGGATACAAAAATAAAAAAATTCCCACCCCCGAAAAAGGAAGCCGCTGGAGGGGAGGACGCTGTAGGAACTTCTTCCTCGCTAGGCTGTGAACGGGAGCGACCCCTAGGAAGTCGAGGACGACGTGGAGACATCAAAAACCTGCAATGAAAAGCAGCAAGTCAGGTGCAATATGAATACAGAACGGGAGCGACTCCTAGGAGGTCGAGGTCGACGTGGAGACATCGAAAACCTGCAATGAAAAGCAGCAAGTCAGGTGCAATATGAATACACGAAATATAAAAGGGAAATTAAGAACTTGAACTAAAGTCCTATGAGTAAATAGGATTTTATAGTTGAAGTCTAATTAAACCTACAAATTTCGTGCATGCGAAACAATGATTGTCATTTTCACGGTAAGTTTTAGTGAAATACCCAAAATACCCCTCGTGTTCAAGGCTAAATTCGGGTCAAGAACACGCTCGAGTTGGGTCATGGTCATCATATCTGATCATATAGCACCTCCGATACCCTACAATTTTGGTTAATTTTGCAAATAATCCCTTTTGTAGAATTTAGCCAATTTTGCATATAGACCCCTTCACAAATTTCAATTTAACACCCACATATCCCTCTCGAAACTTTGATCGTGGTTTTGTGGTATAAACTTCTGGGTTTTCAGCCTTAAATTTTCTGCCCTTTTTGCAAATAAGTCCCTCTAAAACATTTATGGGCAATTTTGCAAATAAACCCTCAACAATTTATGATCTCTTTGCATGAAGTACACCTCAAAGTTGTGGCCAATTGTCTCAAACCACATTGAACCAAATTTACACATAAGGCCTTCAAATTTCAGCCCTCTTTTGCACATAACCCCTTCAAATTTCAGCCCTCTTTTGCACATAACCCCTTCAAAGTTTAGCCCTCTTTTGCATATAACCCCCTCAAAGCTCAATCCCAAATTTGCACATACACCCCCGAAAATTTCAGCCTCAAATTTGCACAAAAAACCCCCCAAATTCGGCCAAATTCTCAAATGCCATCAAATTCGGTTTTCTTCCAAGATTAAAGAGCTAGAGTTGAAATTATCAAGCCATGAACACAATCAATCAAAAAAATTCGGCCAACAATCTGACCCAATGCAAATTTCGGTTTTCCCCCAAATTAACAAACTAGGGTTTTGGATTTTAAAAAATTCAAAAGAGGGGAAATCAAATTGAAGTTATGAGGGAAAGAAGATCTTACCAAAGCTTGAAGAATCTGTGAAGAGGAGGCTTTGTTGTTGATGAAGATCCTCCAAACCCAACTTTCCTTGCTTGAAGCTTCGGAGGGGATGAGAGCTTGGAAGGAGGAAGATGAAAGCTTTGAGGCCTTGAAAGAGCTAAGGGCTTGAAGAAGAAGATGATGGAATTCTTGGTGAAGAAGAGTTCTTGAGAGAAAAGAACTTGAAACCGAAAAAAAAATGAAAGAAAAGGGGGGGCGGAACTCCTGCTGGAACCGAAGAAACAAGAGAAAAAAAGAGAAGAGGGAGATCGGGTTTTGTATTTGGGAGAATTTTAAGTGAACCGGACCCGAGTGAACCGGACCCGAGTGAACCGAACCCATATGAACCGGACCGGACCGGATTAAATCATTTTTTGATGGTTCACACGCGTATGAGGAGCGAAGTGTTGGCCCGAACGTGTAGAAAGACTTGGGGATAATTTATATACACTTTGATCCTTTTCTAGGATATTTTACGACGTATTCAACACTCGTATTTGTACTCCAATGAGAATACGAGTCTAAACTATTTTTCACAATGGACGGGAAGTTCCTGGAGAATATTATGTATAATATTCTTAAGGATAACCCGTCAACCTCCGACGGGTACACGAGGCTAAACTAATTCCCGAAACTCCCAGGAGTACACGAGTATAAACTGGTTCTCCTCAGGTTGATTCGAAACCCTAGGGTCAACGCCGGTCAACGCGTAACCCTAGGTCAACGCCAGTCAACGCGTTGCGACAAAAAGTCAATATTCGACGTTCGAAACCCTAGGGTCAACGCCGGTCAACGCGTAACCCTAGGTCAACGCCAGTCAACGCGTTGCAACCAAAGTCAACATTTGACGATTCAAAGCCCTAGGGTCAACGCCGATCGACACGTAACCCTAGGTCAACGCCAGTCAACGCGTTGCAACCAAAAGTCAACATTCGAAAATTGCCTATAGGTCTCCACGAACAGCTCAGTGTTAAGGAACGACAATGAACGTCACTATCTGGTTCACAGGAGTTCGATTGACGTCGGTGAACGCTTGAAGTGAATCGACGAACTACGTGAGCTGACAGAATTTCGGAATAACGAAGGCACAGGCTAATCGAGAGCCCCGCGATGTTTACAAAAAAAGAACAACGCCTTTCGTGTCTCGTTCGTTCTACAGATAATCCAACCATTGGAGCTGATAGAACTCTTCGTCAGACTTCCAACGCACTTCGAATCACTAAAATCCGAGTTCGGACGAAGAATTTACAGCGGAGTGTCTCGGATTTTTGGAGACACCCCAGGGGTGTCCTAGATTTTTGGGGATACCCTAGGGGTGTCCTAGATTTTTTTGGGGACACCCCAGGGGTGTCCTAGATTTTTGGGGACACCCCAGGGGTGTCCTAGATTTTTGGGGACGCCCCAGGGGTGTCCTAGATTTTTGGGGACACCCCAGGAGTGTCGCCTATAAATAGAAGCCTTAGGCCTTACTTTTGGAGGGATCTGGATTTTTGGAGAATTGGCGAAGCCCTGCTGGAGTGAAGAGTGATCGAGCACTTCAACACAAGAGAGTTCTTCATCAGATCTACCTCACCCGCATCCGTTCCTTAGCATTACCCCTCGTCGGTAATCCTAAGAAGAGCAAATATCTCGCTTTATCCGAGATAGGCGCTTCAAGTTTCTAGATCTCCTCGCGGATCGACGAAGCTCTGCCCGATTTTTCTGGATCAGATCTGATTGCCAGGTAGTCCACGGATATCGACGTCCCCGTCACAGGCTAAAGACCCACGCAAGCAAGAGACGATAAACGGATCTTGTGTTTATTTTCAAGAAAGTTGTAATTTTTATTTTCGTTATTTGAATTCATTTGTAACATTTGAAGTTTTTTAATGAAATCAATGATGAAGGCAACTTTTGACGAAAACATTGTGCTGCCGAAGTGCTGCCGAAATTTCCACTGCGCGCAACACTTCAAAGAGTTTTGATGCTGAATGTCGTGCTTTGAGGATGGTTCGCCACAGAAATCTTGTTAGAATCATCAGCGCTTGCTCCAACTTGGATTTCAAGGCACCCGTCCTCCAATTCATGCCCAATGGTAGCCTTGAAAGATGGCTCTACTCCCATAACTACTGCTTGAGCTTACTTCAAAGGATTAACATAGCCATCGATGTTGCTTCAGCTATTGAGTACCTCCATCATCACCATTCTCAGGTTGTGCTGCATTGTGATCTGAAGCCGACCAACATTCTTCTTGATGAAGAAATGACCGCACATGTCAGCGACTTTGGCATTGCAAAACTACTGACTGGTGATAACCAGAGTGTAACCTCAGCGAGCACGCCGGGGACAGTTGGTTATATTGCCCCAGGTAAATAAATTTATAAGCTTTCGCCTAAAATCTAGTCCAATCACATGCAATCTATATTAACGTTTGTGTTTGCGGTGTAGAGTATGCTTCAACAGGAAGAGTCTCCACAAAGGGAGATGTCTATAGCTTTGGAATATTGTTGCTAGAAATCTTTACGAGAAAGAAGCCTACTGATCCTATGTTTACGGGGGAATCAAGCTTGCGACGATGGGTAAATGATGCAAATCCTACCGGCCTGTTAGATATTGTGGACTGCAATCTCTTGAAAGTTGAAAATGGAAATGAAAGGCCGAGGAGCGACTTGATTTCAATGCAGGCTTGTCTATCTTCTATCATGGAGTTGGGGATTATCTGTTCAAGTGACTCACCTAGAGAAAGGCTTCCTATGAAGGAAGTCGTCCCAAAGTTGCGGAAGATCAAGATGGATTATTTGTTTGGCATGTTATGGATGTACTACTTACCACTATGTTTGGGAGTTTGGTAATGAAGGGGAAGGAAAAGGAAGGGAGTGTAAAATAGGACAAGGGATGGTTTCCTTTTATGAGAAGCATTTTATGCATTTTTTTGTTTACTAGATTTTGCAGATAACAGACGAGCTTCCATTTAGTTTCTCTCACTTTGCTGTAGGTAGGCGTCCAGAATGAGCTTACTTCCACTGGACAAATAGTTCACGATCTGCTTAAAGCTTGATTGGGCAGCAAGCCTTAACATTTTATTCCAGCGTTTGTTTTTTATTTTAGCTTTCCAAAGAAATAGGAAAAAAAATTAATTTAAATATAATTTTAAAAATATGAATACCAAGTTAACATAGTTTAGAAATGAAGAAAAATAAAAGAAGGCCGAAAAAACCTATGGTGTGAGCCGTGCCGGGCTCGCCCCACCCCTAGGCGGGTCATACGCCGGTCTTGGTCCAGTCCCAGATCTGGGATCAGAGAAGCAGGCTCGTACGTCCCATTCTGACCATCGTGGACCCGGGTTAGACCTGGCCCCGCCTTGGACCCCACAGGTTGGGTCACAGGCCTGAACTGGCCCACACCCACATCTAGACAGGAATGTGTGAAGTCAAAGTAATCGGTGGTGGTAACTGGATGAGGGAGGGGCAAGAGTTGAAGAAATCGGTTGTTGCCTTTCACTTCCACAAGCCTGCAAGACTTTTCTCAACGGATGAAGACATGCGCCAGTTGCTACCTCATCCTCTTTCTCTCGGTTGACATCAGCCAACTGGTCTAATTATTGCAAGCAGCAAATTAAATGTGCCATTTATGTTGGAGCATTTTCAGTTGTTTTCGCATAAAATATCCATCCCCTCTTCTCCATAACCTCCACCGATGGAAACCTACAAATTTGTCTTCGTAGCTCTGACGCTCCTATTTTTCACCTCAACATCGGCGGCGAAGCATGACAACATGACCGACCTCTCGGCGCTCCTGGCTATCAAAGCCAGGGTCATTGAGCATGATCCAGGCAGCTCTCTGTCCGCCAACTGGACCACCGACGCATCCTTTTGCACCTGGATGGGCGTCTCGTGCAGCCGTCGAAGGCAAAGAGTAACTTCTCTTAACATCAGTGACACACAGCTCTATGGCACCATCCCTCCTCACATCGCCAACCTTTCATTCCTGTCGGAGCTCGTTCTTTCCAACGATGGCCTGGTCGGACCCCTTCCTGAATCTCTGGCTCGGCTGCCTCGACTACAATACCTCCAGCTTGATAGCAACCAGCTTTCAGGTTCAATACCCCTCGCCTTTTTCAACATGTCATCGCTTTCCGAGTTGATTCTCGCTAGCAACAGCATTACGGGGACCCTGCCCCCTAACGATACTAGTTTTCGTCCGTTGTTCCCCGAGTATTTGTATGTATTTGAAAACCAGCTCACTGGCAGTATCCCGTCCAGCCTTTTCCTTGCTCCTACCCTTCGGGAGCTTAGCTTGGCTGGGAACCAGTTAAGTGGACACATACCGCCCGAGATTGGAAATATGAAGCATCTTACTCTCCTGTACCTTGGTGATAACAATCTAACGGGCACAATACCATCCTCTTTGGGTAACCTTACTAATCTAGTTGACCTGAGCCTTTCCAGCAACAGCTTCCATGGAAATATTCCTGAGGAGTTGGGTCGTCTTACAAACCTTAAAAGATTGCAGATTGGTCACTGTGGTGGTATTACTGGTTCTATACCGGTTTCCCTTTCTACTATGTCATCGCTCCGAATCATGGACCTTGAGAGCAATAGCCTTGATGGACCGGTGCGTTTGCAATTTGGGACTATGCCTCTTCTTATATCCTTGTTGTTACCCGGAAACAGACTAACCGGAGGGTTGGACTTCCTCGCATCACTGTCAAACTGCAGAGCTTTAGATTTTGTGGAAGTTAGAGCAAATGAGCTGGATGGCATTCTACCAAATACCGTAGGTAATCTCTCGAGGAACCTAGCATTCTTTAGTATTGAGCAAAATCATATTAAGGGGAAAATTCCTAACTCGGCCGACTAAGAAACTTGAAACAACTGTACCTCGACAGCAACAGTCTTTCTGGATCCATACCTGACTCTATTGGAAATATCACCGGACTAGACCAATTGACGCTTAGTGCAAACAGATTATCTTCAACAATTCCTGAAAGTGTTTGGGGTCTGACTCGTCTACTCTACTTAAATCTGTCACAGAACCTTCTCTCTGGATTTCTACCTTCAGCATTGTGGAATATTAAGGACTTGAACACATTTGACGTGTCAAGAAATCGGCTATCGGGTAACCTTCCAAGCGCTTTAAAGTATCTCGAAATCAATACGTTGTACCTATCAAATAACTCATTTGATGGCCACATTCCTGAATCATTTGGGGATCTTTTTAATCTCGAGGGTTTGGACCTTTCTTGCAATAACCTCTCAGGTTTCATACCCGAGTCCTTGGTCAATCTCCAACACCTCAACATCCTAAACTTATCTTTCAACATGTTGGAAGGAAAGGTTCCAAATGTTGGTGCCTTTATGAATGCCAGCATCGTGTCTCTGGAAGGAAATGCGGCATTATGTGGAGCACCCAGATTTGGCTTTCCATCTTGCAACATAAATGATTCCACAGTTTCTAATTCATGGAGGCATTTGTTACGATATATCCTCCCTGTTGGGGCGGAATCACGCCCACCGCCTCGGAAGCGATATGTCCTGAGAGAGAGCCCTGACTTTTGTTTTCACAAAAGTACAAGTCAAACTCGATATCTGTGTTTCGCAAAGGAAAACCCAGACTCAGTAGCGAAATATCTCAGCGAAGTGAGATATCCACTCTTCCTCTCATCAGTGCAAGGACTGAACTATCGAGGGCACCTGCAAGTAAACAAATAGTTATGACAATACAAAGACGAGATTTACGTGGTTCGGCTAACTAGCCTACGTCCACGGGAGGGGGTTTCACTATGAAGGAAAAATACCAAACTTATACAAGTTCTCTCTTCCTCTCTTTCTTTTCTCTCAAAAAACTCCACTTGAGATTTTTCCCCACTCAATAACACCTCCACCCCTTCTCTATTTATAGGAAACCAAGGGGAGGGAATGCTAAGAATTTAGGCGGGAGAAGAAAACGCGGGAAAAAAAAACAAGCGCGCGCAAGGGAGCAGAAAATATCAGCGGGAAGAAAAAAATCCCACGCGTGGGCAGCCGCCCATGAAATCCCACCCACGTGGGTGGGCCCCCTAGTCCCATGCGTCCACAATTCTCCACCTCGTACATCATTTGATAAACCTAAAATTTTGGACGAATACCAGAAGAACCCCACGAACTCCACCAGAGAGATATCCAGGCCAAACCAGCTGCGTCACTATACCGCGACTGCCTACGTACCATCCACCGGGATCAAGCTAACCGTAGTTCTGTAATTATTCTCCAACATAGTCTCCACCTCACCTCCATCACCGCCCCGAAGGGCCATGTCCTCTTGGGCAAATCAACACGGGCTGATATGAAGCAAGTCCAAGTAATGCTTAAACTTGCTACCTGTGACCACCTTGGTTAACATGTCCGCGGGATTCTCATTCGTATGCACCTTCATGAGAGAAATATCACCTTCCTCTATGACATCCCGCACAAAATGATACTTGACGTCGATATGCTTAGTACGAGCATGGTGAACTTGATTTTTCGCCAAGTGAATCGCACTTTGACTGTCGCACCACAAGTTCACGCTTTCCTGCTCGATCCCCAAATCGTCTAGAAGACCCCACAGCCACAATGCTTCTTTCACTCCCTCCTCCATAGCCATGTACTCGGCCTCTGTAGTAGAAAGTGCCACTGTAGCCTGCAACATCGATCGCCAACTAACTGGAGCTCCATGTATCCTGAATACATAATCAGTAGTAGATCGCCGTCTATCTAGATCGCCTGCATAATCTGAGTCCACATACCCGTCGACCTGACATGTATCTCCACCAAAACACAGACCCGTATCCGCGATACCTTTTAAGTACCTCAGGACCCATTTCACCACTTCCCAGTATGCCTTTTCCGGATTCGCCATGAATCTGCTGACCACACTAACCGCCTGTGAAATATCAGGGCGTGTACACACCATTACGTACATTAAACTGCCAACTGCACTAGCATAAGGGACACGCTCCATGTGTGCCTTATCTTTCGCTGTAGTGGGAGATTGTTTACCTGAAAGCCTAAAGTGTGGAGCCAATGGGGTCACCACCGACTTTGTACTTTGCATTCCGAATCTCACGATCACCCGCTCTATGTAGCTCTTCTGACTCAAGAACAATCGTCGATTCGCCCGCTCTCTTCTAATCTCCATACCCAGTATTTTCCTAGCAGCACCCATGTCCTTCATATCGAACTCATTGCTAAGTTGAGATTTCAGCTTATCTATCTCCAGCTTGTTCTTCGATGCAATAAGCATGTCATCCACATACAACAGGAGAAAGATATAATCACCTCCATGAAGCTTCCGAATGTAAACACAACAATCATAGTCGCTTCGGGAAAACCCATGCTTCGGCATGAAGGAGTCAAATTGCTTGTACCACTGTCACGGAGATTGCTTCAATCCGTAAAGTGACTTTCTCAAGCGACATACATGATTCTCCTTGTCCTCAACCTTGTATCCCTCAGGTTGATGTATATAGATCTCTTCATCCAAGTCTCCGTGCAAGAAGGCCGTCTTGACATCGAGTTGTTCCAGCTCAAGATCACCATGAGCAACAATACTCAATAGCACTCGAATAGATGTGTGTTTCACCACCGGAGAAAATATCTCATTGTAATCCACACCCTCTCTTTGTGCAAACCCCTTTGACACTAGCCTCGCCTTGTACCTCGTACCACCGAGATCTAAAGGATCTTCCTTTCTTTTATACAGCCACTTACAACCTATAGCTTTCTTTCCTACGGGCAATGGGAAGGATCTTCCTTTCTTTTATACAGCCACTTACAACCTATAGCTTTCTTTCCTACGGGCAATGGGACCATCTCCCATGTTTGGTTCTTCCGGAGAGATTCCATCTCCTCCTCCATCGCTGCCAACCAACTCTCGCTATCTTTATCCCGAATAGCTTCCTTGAAGGAGACCGGCTCATCTTCCTCCACCGAGAGTGCGTACTCAACCAAATTAACATGCCCATAGTGCTTCAGGGGTTGATCAGCCCCCAGCTTCTGAACCTGCTTGTATGCTCGCATTGGCCTAGTGGAAGCCAAGCTATCATCGAGCTGTGAACCTCCTCCTACTCAAGCTTATCATCTACCTGATTTCCCACTTGAACATGACTAGAACCTGGTTGGTCTTTAGGTTCTATCTCAATAACCTGGGACTTGGAAGTCCTAACAGTCTCAACACCATCACCCTTGGACACCCTAGCAATCATGAACTTCTCATCAAATGTAACGTCCCTACTGATCACGAACTTCGAATCTTCTGTACACCAAAGGCGGTAGCCTTTTACGCCCTTTGCATACCCCAAGAAAATTGCTTTCTTGGCCCTCGCGTCAAGCTTTCCCTCGTTGACGTGATAGTAGGCGGTACACCCAAAAATCCGGAGTCTCTCATAATCTGCATGCTCCCCTGACCACACCCGATAGGGTGTATCACCGTCCAATATCGAATGTGCAGATCGATTCACAATATAGCAAGCTGTAGCAATCGACTCTGCCCACCATTCTTTGCCCAAACCAGCATAAGATCGCATACTCACTGCTTTCTCCCGCAGTGTTCGGTTCAGTCTCTCTGCGATCCCATTTTGCTGTGGTGTAGATCTTACTGTCCAGTGTTTGGCAATGCCCTCCTGATCACAGAACTCCTTGAAGGCACCATCGGTGTACTCTGTGCCGTTATCAGATCCCAGCGTCTTCAATTTCTTCCCTGTCCTGTTCTCAACCATTGCCTTCCACTTCTTGAATGTCTCAAATACCTCATTCTTATGCTTCAGAAAATAAATCCAAGCATACCTCGAATGATCATCTATGAATGAGACAAAATACCTGGAACCACCCTTGGAAGTTGTCGAAGCCGGACCCCAAACATCCGTGTGCACATAATCTAGTATTCCTCTGCTCTTGTGATTGCTCCTCAGAAACTGGACTCTGTGCGCCTTTCCATACACACAATCCTCGCAAAAATTCATGCAAGGTTTCTTCAGATTCTTTAGCAAACCCTCTTTACCAAGCAGATCCAAACCCTTCTCTGACATGTGCCCAAGCCGCCTATGCCATAACCGTGTGTGCTCACATGGGTCTCCACCACTTCCTTCAGCTCCAACTGCTGCATCTCCCGTCACCGTCGTACCCGAGAGAGTATATAGATTACCGTGACGGACACCCTTCATCACTATTAAGGAACCCCGAACAACCCTCTTCACTCCGTTCTCTGTTACAATCTTGCAACCCCCGGAGTCCAAAGCACCGACTGAGATGAGATTCTTCCGCAAGTCGAGAACGTGTCGTACGTCCGTCAGGGTTCGAACCACTCCATCATGCATCTTGATTTTGATATCACCTAGCCCCACCGTTTTACAAACATGGTTGTTACCCATTAGTACGGTTCCACCATCAATACTCCTGTAGGTAGTAAACCACTTCCTATTTGGACACATATGATTAGAGCGACCAGAATCAAGAATCCACTTCCCGGAGGTATCCTCGCCACCCGTGACGACATAGCATTCCTTATCGCTCTCTTCCCCTGAAGCGTAGCTCGCCTCTTCCTTGCCTTCTCGTCTTTCAGCTTTGTTGTTGATCTTCTTCCCACCTACTCTCTTGTTAGGAAAATCGACCTTAAAATGCCCAACTTCACCGCATTTGAAACACGCTCGTCCCGCAAGAGGTCTCGATTTAGATCTTGACTTTCCTCCCTTGCCTTTTCCTTGCTCATTGCCTCTCCCTCTGGCAAACAGTCCATGCGCTTGTTCTTTGTTACCACCAGTGGTCATATCACTAGTTGCAATTTTTCGGAGATCATCCGCTAGAAGCGCTGTTCTAGTCTCATCCATTGACAAACTGTCACCCACAAGCATCAGTGTTTGAACCAGATTCTCATAGGACTTCGGCAGAGATAGAAGTAGTAGAAGCGTCTGATCCTCGTCTTCCACTATCACCTCAATGTCCTTTAAGTCTGATAAGATCCTATCAAACTTGTTAATGTATTCCCGGATTGACGAGCCCTCCTCCATCTTGCAAGTATATAATTTGGATTTTAAATAGATCCGTTTGTTAGACCATTCGTCATGAAGGTGCTTTCTAACTTTAACCACACGCCCGCAGCCGTTTCCTCCCCGTCCACCAAGAAAGCTACATCCCTTTCAAGGCAAAGGATAATCGACGCTCGTGCTTCCAGATCCAGCTCCTCCCAATCCTCATCAGACATATTTTTATGCTTCTCTCTTCCAGCCAAAGCTTTGTGCAATTTTTACGAAATCAGCGAATTTTTTATCTGCATCCTCCAATAGGAAAAATTATTTTTCCCATTGAATTTTTTAATCTCGTATTTTCCAACTTTACTTGTTTTACTTGTAGAAGTCATTTTTCGCTTGTATTATGTAAATCCGCTTCTCTCAGGAATTTTTTAACAATTTCTTTGTGTTCACCACACAATAGTCAACCACCACCTCAGATCAGAAATTTTACCACCTCCAATCTGAATAAGGGGCTCTGATACCAATTGTTAGGACGGAGTCACGCCCATCGTCGCGGAAGCGATATGTCTTGAGAGAGAGCCCTGACTTTTGTTTTCACAAAAGTACAAGTCAAACTCGATATATGTGTTTCGCGAAGGAAAACCCAGACTCAGTAGCGAAATATCTCAGCGAAGTGAGATATCCACTCTTCCTCTCATCAGTGCAAGGACTGAACTATCGAGGGCACCTGCAAGTAAAACAAATAGTTATGACAATACAAACACGGGATTTACGTGGTTCGGCAAACTTGCCTACGTCCACGGGAGGGGGTTTCACTATGAGGAGAATACCAAACTTATTACAAGTTTTATCTCAACTCTCTCTTTTTCTCAAAAGAACTCCAAAACAAAAACCCACAATTGATTTTTCCCAAACCAATAACTCCTCCACCCCTTCTCTATTTATAGGAAAAACCAAAGGGGGGGGGATCTGGAAGTTTGGCGGGCTGGGACAGCGGGAAAAAGAGTTCGCGCGGGGGAAAAAAATTGCAGCGGGAAAAATCCCGCGCTCTCGCTCAACGCGCGCGTGGGCGGCTCGCCTGCTCGTGGGCAGACGCCCACGTGGGTGAGCCCCCACCCCTTGATTACACTCCCTGCTATTGCTTCTACGGGAATCCTTGTTCTCTGTTTTTGCATCCTATTAGGATTACGTAGAAGGAGAGCCAAGAATCCGACCCCAAGTAGCACGCTCTCTCTTACTAAGCATAGATTGATCCCCTACTACGAGCTTGTTCGTGCCACTGACAACTTCAGCGAGATAAACTTACTCGGAAGGGGTGCATTTGGTTCTGTGTACAGAGGGCTTTTAGATGACGGCCTTCTTGTTGCCATCAAGGTCTTGAATATGCAAATCGATGGAGCTTCAAGGAGTTTTGATGCTGAGTGTTGTGCTTTGAGGATGGTTCGCCACAGAAATCTTGTTAGAATCATCAGTTCTTGTTCCAACTTGGATTTCAAGGCACTCGTCCTCCAATTCATGCCCAATGGCAGCCTAGAAAGATGGCTCTACTCCCATAACTACTCCTTGAGTTTACTTCAAAGGATTAACATGGCCATCGATGTTGCTTCAGCTATTGAGTACCTCCATCATCACCATTCTCAGGTTGTGCTGCATTGTGATCTGAAACCGACCAACATTCTTCTTGATGAAGAAATGACCGCACATGTCAGCGACTTTGGCATTGCAAGACTACTGAGTGGTGATAACCAGAGTGTAACCTCAGCGAGCACGCCGGGGACAATTGGTTATATTGCCCCAGGTAAATAAATTTACAGGCTTTCGCCTAAAATCTAGTCCAATCACGTGCAATCTGTACTAACGTTTGAGTTTGCGGTGTAGAGTTTGCTTCAACAGGAAGAGTCTCCACAAAGGGAGATGTCTATAGCTTTGGAATATTGTTGCTAGAAATCTTTACGAGAAAGAAGCCTACTGATCCTATGTTTACCAGGGAATCAAGCTTGCGACGATGGGTAAGTGATGCACATCCTGCCGGCTTGTTTGATATAGTGGACCGCAACCTCTTGAGAGATGAGGATGGAGATGAAAGGCCGAGGAGCGACTTAGCTTCAATGCAGGCTTGTCTATCTTCTATCATGGAGTTGGGGATCGTCTGTTCAAGTGACTCACCTAGAGAAAGGCTTCCTATGAAGGAAGTCGTCCCAAAGTTGCAGAAGATCGAGATGGAGTATTTGTCAGTGTATTGAGTTGTTTGAAACATGACTGTAACATGTTATGGATGTACTTATCACTATGTTTGGGAGTTTAGTAATGAAGGGGAAGGAAAAGGGAGGGAGTGTGAAATAGGACAAGGGATGGTTTCCTTTTATGAGAAGCATTTTATACAGTTTTTATTTACTAGATTATGTAGATAACAAATGAGCTTACTTCCACTGGACACGTAGTTCACGATCTGCTTAAAGCTTGATTGGGTAGCAACCCTTAACATTTTTATTCCAGCGTTTGTTTTTATTTTAGCTTTCCAATAAATTAATAGCTTTTGTCATGACATTGTGCAAAATTCAACAGGTTTAAAGCAAGAGTTTCTCTTCGCTCAGTGTCCCTTAATTCCCCGGCCAAATCGATTCCCATATCCATAGTTGCTAACAGGTTGTTTTAAGGGAGAGTTTTTGTGAGTCTTCAACAAATGATATTAAATTAACTATTTTTTGTTTCAATTTACATTACATTTTATTTAAAGGTATGCTGGATGTTTGTAGTGGATGTTACGCACCTATGCGGAAGCGTGCTCGCACACCAAACTAATCTGTGATCACGGGAGGAGAGAATTAACTACACACAAGCACAATTCAATCCAAATACGACAAATCAAACCAAACACTGAAATATACGTGGTTCGGCAATTTGCCTACGTCCACTGGGAGAGGATGGAGAGATTCCACTAAATCAATGAGAGTACAAAGGGTTACAGTCTCACAAAATCACTCACACAAACTATAAACCAAATCTCTCAACTTGCTCACAAGTTCTCCATCTCAATATGCTTAGTACAATCTAAAATCTCTGTTTAGAAACCCTAGAAAATCGTGTTTTAATTTATATCAAAATACAAACCCAATGCGAACAGGAAACCAAATTCAGGCCCAGTCCAACTCGTGGTCGACCGCAGAGACACGTGAGGTCGACTGGACAGAACGACAGAAACTGAAAATCATTACATGGTTTGGCCAGTCGACCGCCGCGCCAATTGCGGTCGACCGCGAAAAGTCCAGAGATTTTTCCAGCTTGCGTGCACGTTTGCGGTCGACCGCCGCACCACTCGTAGTCGAGCGCTGGAAGCCTAAACCTGTTTTCTGTCGTTTTTTCTGTATTCTCTTCGGTGGATGCCCAAGTCAATCTTGGATCGATTCTTCTCATTTATGCTAAATTGCTGCATTTAAGCCTCTGTGTGATATCTGTCCTGCTCAAGGTGAGGGGTATGAGATTTTAATTTGAAAATTTCTGACAGCAGTAGGAGGATTATGGCCCTATTGCGATATGAATAGTCAATTTGACGCATTATTTGGTTCTATTTTACTTTCTCTGTTGAGACCGGTGGATCTTGTTGCTTCAGTGAAACTGGATTTTCATCTCGAAATGGATATTTATTTACTAAGTCACAGTCAATGGACACCCAATAGATCGAAGAAGTCTGTTCCATATCCTGTTCCATATCTGTTGGTCTTGAGAGTGGAGACTCAAACCTAGAATCAAAACCAACAATTACATGAAAATTCAAGACAGGCCATGGGTGTGGTCTGCGCTACATCAGGGTGTGGCAGAATCTGCCCTGTCTGCTATGGGTGTGGTCTGCGTCACACCAGGGTGTGGCAGAATCTGTCATGTCTGCCATGGGTGTGGTCTGCGCCACACCAGGGTGTGGCAGAGTCTGCCCTGTCTGCCATGGGTGTGGTCTGCGTCACACCAGGGTGTGGCAGACTCGTTTTAGAATCCTAATCTGTTTGGGATTGTGTTTTGTTATAAAGAGAAACACGTCCCTTTAGGGTTTAAGTGAGAAAAAGAGCATGAAAAAAGAGGGTTTTGAGGGCTCTTTGAGGTTAGAAATCTTAGAGAGAGAGAGGCCAATTGTAAGCATTGTAATCTTCTTCAAGTAATTAAAGAATTGTGTGGTGTGGCTCCCGAGGACGTAGGCACGTTGCCGAACCTTGTTAAATCTGGTATGTTCTTTCTTGTTTACTTTCCTATAAGATTTTATCTTTGATTTGTGGCGAATTTCTTTCTTGTTCAACTCTCAAACACAAGATCCGGAAGGGTACAGATTTGATTTGATTATTTCGAATCCCCAACAACTGGTATCAGAGCTTCGTTCAGCAATTTGTGTGAAAGTTATGGCAGAGAAAAACAAATCAAAGATCGAGAAGTTTGACGGTTCAGATTTCGCCTACTGGAAGTCACAGATGGAGGACTATCTGTACCAAAAGGACTTGTATCGCCTGTTGATGGGCAATGAAAGGGGAAAGAAGAAGGAGGAGTCAGATGGTGATTGGGAGATACTGGATAGGAAGGCTCTAGGGCAAATCCATTTGTCGCTCGCTAAATCAGTAGCCCACAATATTCTGAAGGAGAAGACGACGATGGGGCTTATGGAAGCGCTCGCAAAGATGTACGAGCAACCGTCGGCAGCAAACAAGGTGCATCTCGTCAAAACTCTTTTTAACCTTAAGATGGCAGAAGGACGGTCCTTCACGATGCACCTCAGCGAGTTCAACACGATTGTTGATTAGCTTATCTCCATGGACATCACGTTTGATGACGAAGTGCAAGCCTTATTGATTCTATCGCAGTTGTCGGATAGTTGGGCAGGTTGTGTGACGGCAATCAGCAATTTGGCGGGGAAGGAGAAGTTGAAGCTGAGTGAGATTGTTAGCATGATTCTATCCGAAGAGGTTAGAAGGAAATTGTCTGAATCAGAAGGTTCAGATTCAGCTCTAAACTTCGAGCAGAGAGGCAGAAGCCAGAAGAAAGGAAACCAGAACAAGAATCGGTCGAAATCAGTGAAGAAGAGGCCAAACTCGAAGGTTAGGCCTATCAAAGGGAAATGTTGGAACTGCGGTCAGGAGGACCATATGTCTTCAGTCTGCAAAAATCCAAAGAGGGATGCGGGTGAGCAGGAGGCTCATATCGTGCAGGATGCCTTGATCCTTGCTATGGATAGCGACTCGGATTCTTGGGTCATCGATTCAGGAGCCTCTTTCCACGCCACTACTAACATGAAACTCTTTCAGAATTATGTAGCAGGGGACTTTGGAAAAGTATATTTGGGGAATAACGAGCCCTGTAATATTATTGGAAAGGGTGAAGTACAGATTCAGATGTGTTAGACCCTAGAGGGGGGTGATTAGGGTCTTATGCTAATCTAATCCGATTAAATGCCAATTAAAATTAATTAACAAATAATTCTTGCAAGAGAGATATACAATATGTTACAAGCAAGAATAAGCAATATGAACAAAGGTAAATATCCTAGCAAAGAGATATACTATGAGATATATGCAAGGATATATAAACAACACAAGGGTAAACAAAATGAACTAGATAGTGGATGAAATAAATGAGCAATGACTCGGTTTTCTAGCTCACCGAAAACCTTACACCACTCACAATGTAACAAATATAAATTTGTTCTCTACAATAGATGAGAACACAATTAAGCACAACTCAATGTTACAATCTCTCACAACCCTAATATACTATGTATGCAAATACAATAAGCTCAAGTGGGTGTGTGTAACAATGAGATAATATAATCAAATCTAAACTCAATATAAAAACTAGCTTTAAAGAATGATAATCAAATAACTAAGCAAATGTAAAGCTAGATAGAGTTTAGAAAACTTCTCCAATAGATGACAAGATGGAGAGATGGAGATTGGAGCCCAAACAAGAAGATGATCTCCTCCACTTGTGAAAACTTCTTCATAAACCAAAACAAACACTAACACACTTAAACCCTTGTTTAAAACTCTTTAAACTTGTTTAAAACATTTCTTGAGTTACCTTAGAGGTATGAGGGCATGGGGTATATATAGGCTCATGAAACAAGCCCAAAAACCCAAGAAAACCAAGCAAAAAGACAAAATAACGGATATATATAAATCTGGAAAATATAGCCGTTAGCTACAGTAACCAACCTCCCGAGACATTTCCGGTAGACCGGTCCGGTCGACCGGAGTACTGTAGCAGTGCGCAGATATTTTGTAAAATCAATTTAAAATAGTAAATTAACTCCAAATATTATGAAATTTTGTAGGAATGTTCTAGACATGTAGAATAACATGCCAGAGAAAGGATTTCTGAAAAATATTTTCCCAGTTGAGAGAAATAAATATTTGAACACAAATTTACAGTTTCTGAAAAACTGTTAACATATACGATTTTGTAAAATCAATTAGGCACAGTAAATCAACTCCAAAAATAGTAAAATTTTGAGGGAAGTTTCTAAACATGTAGATAAACATGAAAAAGAAAGAATTTCTTGAATATCACTTCCCATTTATGAAAAATCATCTGTTTTGTAAAACATGCACGAACATGCGTGGATGAAAAACATGATTTTGTAAATTCCATTAAACATAACAAATCAATTCCAAACTTGATGAAACTTTGCGAAATGTTTGTAAACATGAAAACAAACATGTTAGAAAAAGAATTTCTCAATTTTCATTTATAATTTGTGAAAAAACACTGTATTCTGCAAAAGCACTAAAAGACGTATATATGAAAAACATGTGATTGTTATTTTTGACTCAAAACAAGTTTTGAAAACTTATGGAATATTTATATGGACATAATAAAAGTTGTTTATGATGTAAATATAGTCCAAAACTTATTTTGCATAAAAATACTTATAGTTACGAAAATCACAAATATATATGTGTGTGTATGTTTGAGCTTATAGAATTAACACACATAATATAAACCTATACTAAATATACCCAAGCTTGATGAAGGTCTTCAATGAGCATGACTTTGTAAACTTTGAGGAAGAAGCTTGTAATTGGATCTTTAACTTGAATTAACGTTGCTTCACTCCATAAATCCGCCAACCTCCATTTGATATGATCGTTAAGGCTCGATTCCATCCATCCTCCAACTACGTTGTTTGTCTACAAAACATAGGAATGCACAAACACTAGACAAACAACATTAGTAATAAATTGTTTGTTAAACATCATCAAAACAAGAAGGCCAACAATCTCCCCCTTTTTGATGATGACAAACAATTTACAAAAAGAAACATATGCATGAAGTAAATGACTATATAATTTACAATTCACATGCATATAAACAAGAAGGAATATACTCACAATATTTCTCCCCCTTTGA